TATATATATATATTAGTATTTTCAAATATCCGGTTTTGAGTTACACTTATATAATGCGTCTAAATTATATAAAAATTGTTTTTTTTTTAATTTTTTTTATCCAATTTCCTTAATGTTGAATGTTGAATGTTTTGAACTTTTTTCCCTCTGTAAATTTTCAATTTGTTTTGTATGCCATATTATGTTGTTGGAATACCTATTTGATTTTTAATATTTTTGTACACCTATCAACCCGAGTACCCGACCAAATAAAAATTCAAATAGTGTTGACGGAGAGAAAAAAAAACATTTAAATAGTCGTGGACGTGTACTAAATCTCTTTCCAACCTTCTTACAGTTTTGCACCACAATGCCAGAAAGTCAAAGTGTCAAACTTCCAAGGCCAACTATTGCACTATAAAGCCAACAAGTATTATTTAATTCTCTTTAGGTTTCCGAGTTTATTATTGCGGCTCTCTCTCTCTTCGTTCACACACACACATCCATACGACATTTTCTCTATATAAACCCCTAATGTAAAAACAAACCCTTCCCAGACTACTACTCTCCTTATTATCTCCCTCTCTTCTCTACTTTTATCTCTCAATCAGAAGGACAGGAAACACCGATACACAAAGCTGGCAACCGATCGATCCAGAAAAATATCAAGAAAGTGCATGGAGGTTAAGAGTAACAGTTGTATTGATATGAGTGGTGGAGAAGAAGATGATCAAATGAACATGATAATGATAAATGATCTTCGAAGAGGTCCATGGACTGTTGAAGAAGATTTCGCTCTCATCAATTACATCGCTCATCACGGCGAAGGCCGATGGAACTCTCTTGCCCGTTGTGCTGGTACGTATACATATATAGTACTTGTAGCTTTGCCACATGATACAGTTGCATGTGTGTAGTTTGATCCACACATTAAGTAACGATATCCTGGCTACATCATTTTACTAGCGTTTTAATTTACCAATAACACATACATGTTGAACAATAACGTCACAATGGAGATTTTGAAGCTAAAGAACCGATATATTTGAAAACCACCGGAAGAGATAGGAGCAGCTTTGATTCTGGGGATTTCTTTTTGTAAAAATGCTTTATAAATTATGTTATTTAAGTAAAATATGTAACGAAATATTCAATTGGTTTACTTTTCCTAATTTAGCAAAACAAACTTAATTAACTTTTTTTTTCAGTGTTTTTATTGTTTTATAGGAAATCATCCTCCAAAAAAGAAAATAAAATTTAATATCCTTCAAGTATCTAGAACGAAACGGGAAATAATAAAAATAAAAGTTCATTTCTGGCTAAATGGACATCCATAAGCTTAATTTAGCAATTAATTAAACCTTCCTTTCTTTTTCCTTTAAGTATATCTTGTTGAAAAGAAATAATTTTTCTTTTAATTAATGTAACTTTATCTAATAAATGGCTATAGGACTGAAGAGAACTGGAAAGAGTTGTAGATTGCGGTGGCTTAATTATCTCCGCCCAGATGTTCGTCGTGGAAATATTACTCTTGAAGAACAGCTTTTGATTCTTGAACTTCATTCACGTTGGGGCAATCGGTATGTTTATAATACATGTTATATTTTCTTAAACAATTTCAATGGATGCTCAGTTAGCTGTATTCAATGTACAGGTGGTCAAAAATAGCACAACACTTGCCGGGAAGAACTGACAACGAGATAAAGAATTATTGGCGAACAAGAGTTCAAAAACATGCTAAACAGTTGAAATGCGATGTTAATAGCAAACAATTCAAGGACACCATGCGTTATCTTTGGATGCCACGATTGGTTGAGCGGATTCAGGCAGCTTCCACTAACACCGGAGATTCTTCCTCCCTAACAACCTCCACCACCACCACCACCAACTACGATGACGTGGACATGGATAATAGTGGTACAAGGAATTTGGTAACGCCCAAAACTTTCTCTGGTACTTATGGGAATACCCAAATTAATCCTACGGACACGACGGAGGAGAATTCAAGAACCACCGCGGTTTCACCGGTATCAGGTTTGACTGATTGTTATTATCCGATGAATCAGAGACAAAATCAAGATTCCTTTCAAAACATCAACAAGATTGGTGACGGATTCGATGGTTCTCTTATTAGCCCCTCGGGTTACTTCAATCAAACAATGGATTTTGAAGCAATAGTGGAACAAAACAACCAATGCTCCGGCGTTATTGACTTTTCGGATAATTTGTGGAACGTCGACGACTTTTTATTTTTTCAACAACATTTCGACCGTATGTGATGAAATAACCAAAAATTCTGATAATAGTTTAGCCAAATAGATTACGGAATATTTGTTGATTTCAACATAAGAATAGTTATTTTTAATTTTTAATTCCAAACAAAATGCAAAAGAAGTACTACTTCGATTTATCTATTTTTAGGTTGATTTAAGTCATTTCAAGTATTCAATCCATTAGAAAGAAAAAATGTTCATAAAGATTTAAGGAAAGAGTGTTATGGTAATTTTAGATCGTACCATTATTTACGATATTATTATCGAACTACCAAAAGAAATATCTCGAATTTATTTTGATTAGTACATTTTAATAATGTGTATGATAATGTGTATGATATGTATTTTAAATTAACGTAGGGGTGTATATAAATTAATCGATCCAATTGTAATCCAATAAATATCCATTATTATTATCATTCAAATCCAATTAACCAATCAAAAATATTCATCGGATAAAACCGATCCAATCCAACATCCAATTGGATAGGTTCGGTTCATTTATTTATAATGAATTGGATTTCATCAGTTGACAAAATCCAATATATAATGAATCATTGGATTGTATCGGTTGAACGGATTAACATTCTTAAATTAACCGTATGGATATTTAAACTGAATATAATTACATCTGATTTGTATTTGAACTCTCAATATATATGACCGATATTTCCATCGACCCGTAATAGCGTTAGATTAAGATAAATAGATTAAAATACAATCTTTTTACCTACTTATAAATGTAATATTCTCTATTATTTGATATGTTTTTGAATAGTTGGAAGAATGGAAGTACTGTGTTTCACTAATGGTATTCTGCACTTTGAGATGTGAATAATTGGTTCCACTAACTTTATTATATAATAAAGTATATAGTTTAGTAAGTTAGATAATGATACATTACATCAAGTCATAGAATTTTTGAAACCTAGTTTTGTAGGCCACCAACCGAAAATAACATATCCAAGTATTTAATAAATGAAACAAACCCACGTCCTTCTAGATGTTCTCTCTTAATAATTTTCTTTAATTGTAAAATTGGTTGTAAATATACAAATTACCCGTTATAAATTGAAAAAGATTATTCTTTTGTTGCACGTTGCTACCTAGCTTTGTGGATGCTTGATATTTATCACCTCGTCTCCTTTTCTAATGTCACACGTTGCAAAAGTAGACAAATGCTAGGTTAGAAAACGATACCGATTGATGAACCTGAAAGATCTTTATCCCCAATAGTCATTATAGAATGATATTGTTAATGACATATGATCTTATAGGGTAACACTTTATAGCAAGTTACTACTAATTAATTATTACTATAATAATTGGTTATTAATAAATATTATCAACACTTTATGAAAATAATATTTTACCAACATATTAAGAATTATTGTTTCTAAGAAATAATAATAAAGATAACACAAACAGGTGAAATATCATATAATATGATTATTAATGTTGTGGACAACATTTTGGACACATAGTATAAGTCTTTTAGTTGGAAACTAACTACTAGTTATGGATTGAGTAAACAACACACTTTAGTTTTGTCTCTTGGTACCAAAACCGTAGGTACTCTTCTAAGGGAAGAGTTTGTGTGTTGCTTTACTTCTTACATCTCCATGCTTGTAAGAAAGACCCCATACATTCCTTTATCGGTTGCTTGACTTTGGTACCAAAACCGTACGTACTCTTCTAAGGGAAGAGTTTGTGTGTTGCTTTACTTCTTACATCTCCATGCTTGTAAGAAAGACCCCATACATTCCTTTATCGGTTGCTTGACTTTGGTACACTTTTGAATGTATAAAAGGAGAGCCTAACTAGCATGAAGGGTTGGTTCTTTTGCACAAAAATCCTCTTCATTTGGCTGCCAAATTCTGGGGATATTCTTCCCCTTCTTCCATTTTGTCTTGTATTTTTGGTGCTAGATTTAAGAGATTATATGTTGCTCCCTTTTAAGGGTTATTTGGAATAAATCTTAAAGGTTAAGGACAACATATATACAAGTAAAGATTACCATCTTTGGTGGTTGATTCTTGCTTGGTGGATACTTCTAGAGAAGCTCTTCTTTGAGTTATTTGCCATCTTCATCAACTTACTAATTGCCAAAAGGAACCAAAGTCTTCAAAGGATGTAAACTTCTTTCTTTGTCTAGTTGTTTTAATCTTCCTAAGCTCTGCAAAATGATCATTGGTGGGTAAAATGGTTTTAGTTTATTCAAACATAAAAATGTTTGTGTTGCTAATTATGACGACTTTGTCACTATAGTTAAACTATTTTTGAGTAAAACCCAAAAGTTGGTATTAGAGTTATTTTTGCAATTTTGGTTAGATTATTTGATAATATATTATTATATTTGTTTTTGGAAAACATGGATGATGTAACGACCCAAATTTCCAAATAAAATTTTCATTTTTAAATAACCAAAACATTTCCATAAATATAAAATCTCAGAGACAATTGTTTCCAAAATTCATAACATCAACATTTTATTTCAAATATCAGAGTGTCCCCATATAAAATGCCGGAGAGTGCACGCCGCGCCATTAACCCTTGCCCTTGCCCTTAGGCTCAGAAGTACCTGAAACAAATCAACAAACTGTAAGATAATGCTTAGTGAGTTCTGTAACGACCAAAACTTTCAACCAATTTAAAACATTTTACTTCATTCAAAAACCATTAAGTTCATACATCTTGTTTTCAAAATAGTTTAAACATCAGAGTATCCCCCAG